TGCCGTGGCCAGTCACCACTGGACAAGAAGTGACATAGTTATAATTTCCATGGTGATCTGGGGACTGAAGAACCAGCAGCAAGGTTTGCATTTTATGGAATTACCCATAGTTACTACACTCCCATGAGTGATATTTGAACCGCGTTGTTGGGGAACTGGTGTTATTTACCTAGAGGGTGGTAAGCTGAGATTTGTCTAATAGGAGAAGTGAGGAGTTTCGTGCTTTAGTTTTACAACACTGATGACACTGCTGTTAGAAATACAGTGACCTACTGGGCTTCCCAGTGTCCTTGCTCATCTGCCAAACATGATCTAAGTCCCCATGGCATGCTGAGGAGTTCGAGTCTGGACACAGTCCCTAGTTGGCTGTATGACTTTGACGTGTTCCCCAAACCCTCTCTACCTTGATTTCCCCCTTTTTAACCTGGGGATGGAATTAAGAGTGCCTACTCACAAGATCACTTGAGGGTTATACAAGGTAACATGCACAAAACATCACAGGACCCAGTGCATGGGAGGAGCCGTGAATGTGTGAACTATTATTTTTATTCTTTAAAATAGTGAACATCGGACATTTCCTGAGAACGGGGGTGATGCTAAGCCAACTGGAGGTGTTGCCCAATCCAATCCCCATAATGGTCCTAAAGATGGCTCCACAACTCCCACTTTAGAGATGGGGAGATGAGGTTTGGAGAGATACTTAAAGATCCCACAGCCACACTGGACTGAAGTCTATCTGCCTCTAAAAGCAAAGCTTGTAATCACTCTGTCATATTTCCCTGGTCACGAAAGTCTTGTCAGGACATCTGGCTGGTAACCTTTCCTGTATCTACAGTTACACATGTGCACACATTAGCCAATATTAGAGTTGAACTGTTTTTTGCACATGTCGACTCATGTCACTCCTTGTCCTTACATACTGTCACACTCATGAGAACCTTTCTCTCTGGATCCTGAGAAGGAAATTTCTACCCTCTGGTTTGCCCTCAAGGTTTATAGAACATAGGAGACAGAATGAATCTACTTATCGTGAAATCAAGAGCTTACCACCCTTGAAACGATGAAAATAACTTAGTTTTGTAATAATTTCCGGCCAGCTTCAGATTAGATTTCTTTCAATCTGCTTTAAGGTGTAAATATTTCTCCTGGGGAATCATTGAGTTCTGCTTTCTAATTTGATTTGGAGGGAAAGGAAGTGGAATCTGTCTGCCTCATACGGAGCCAGGCGATTTGGTACACTGGGGAGATGTTCAGATATCTGTGTAGGTGTTTTTAATAAGTTAGTTCGCCTAATTCTATTTCCTCTCCACTAAATAAGAAATGCCCTGCCCTAATGGGCTTAATCTTCCTAAATTATTTTCTGGTTTTAATTGTGCTGTTTCCCACAAGCACCTAATTTAATTACAAGATTGCAAAGCTTTTCAGTGAAAAGCTTGCTTGCACATTAGGAACGCTGGGATTTAAATGTTGGAGGAGGGGGTGCTTGTTTGCTTTTTCTCAGGCTTGTCTGTCTCGATGGGTCAGATCTTCGTGAGGTGTGGAATGTGAGGGGGGCCTGACCCAGTTGGGAACTCAGAAAGACCCTGACACTGTCCCAGGAAGAGTCTGGATACAGCTGAAAGCTCACACTTCAAAGGCTGGGATCAGTGCTCCATTGCCAGGAACCCATCTGCTTTGGCGGCAATGATAGCGAAGCAACTGACCTATCCCCCTGCAGTGGGTTCCGGAAACGTGTGTCCCACTCCACAGCTCGTGTCCTGGAGTGACATACTGAGCAGTTATTTTTGTACCATCTTTGAAAGATGCTATGCTATGTGCCAAATGAAGGGAGAAGCAGAAGGAAAAGAAGGGAATTCTTGCTGGGGCAGGGAGTGGGGGGAGCTGGATCTTTTTGCAGTGGGAGGTTTTAGCTATAGGAACGAAACTCTCAGGGCACCTCCAGGCTTTGAGATGCTGCCTGGGCACTGTATCTGTGTGACTATGGGCCCCAGCTTCTTCTTTCCTCCAGGGACAGCAGGGTCTGGAGGGACGTCCTTCCTGGCCCTCCTCCCCAGTTGTGGGCTGCTCAGGGCTTGGAGGAGAACAGAACCACTGGGGAAACAACAAGGGTGCCAATGGTGGCCAATGGCAACTGGTACTTGGGACAAAGCGCCTTCACTAGGGCATCAGGAGAGGGCCACCTAGACAGACAAGGCTCCTTACAGGGTCTGCCCCAATAATCCTCTGGGTCTGGGGCTGGTACCACCAGGGTGTGAAACGATGTCCCAGATACCATTTCTATTTTCCTGATAAAACATTTGCTAAATCGGGAAAAAGGAAACAAGGAAGGACTATTTATCAATGTGGTAAGTCAATCACTGTTTTAATTGCAGAACTAAATGGTCTAACAGCAGAGCCAAGGACAGAACCAGCACTAAACTGGGCCTAGTTCTGAGTCCAGGGCCCTGGCTTTCCATCGGACCACGGTGCCTTCTATGGACTGAATCGTGTTCCTCCCTAAGTTCCTATGTTGAAGCCCCAACCCCCAATGTGACTGCATTAGGGCCTGTAAGGAAGAAAGTAAGGTCAAATGAAGTCATTAGGGGGAGATCTTAATCCAACAGGACTTGGGTCTTTAAGGAAGAAGAAAAGGTCTGAGAGAGCGATCGCTCAGTGAACATATGGAGGAAACGCCAGGTGAGGAATTTGCCGGCACCTTGGTCTTACACTTCCAGCCCCCAGAACCGCAAGAGAACGAGTAAATGTCTGTTGTGGAAGCCCCTCGGTCCTGCCTGCCCAGCTGAGCAGAGTGCCCGAGCCAGAGACAGTCCTCAGGGGTGGATGGTGGATGGGGAGACCCGCGGGAGGCTGAGGGCTGAGGGGAACGGTACACAGACACTGGGGCCCCTTCCAGGACCATACTGGGGGCTGGAGGGAATTCCCCGGGGAGGGAGGATGTCCAGGGCCATGTTAAAAGCCCCTTCCTGAAGTTTGCTCATGAAGGGAGGGAGAAGCAAAAACTGTAAGGCCGGCCCAGGTAGAGAAGGGATCTCTAGCGACGTTTGGGAAAAGCATGGAGAATGTCAGCACCGTGGTCTAAACTTAACTCATCGCTTTGTGTTTCTGTTTCCTGAGCTATAAGAGGGGCTGGTCATAGAAACTACCCCATGGGATATCATGAGTCTTAAATGAGGTAATATTTGTAAAGAATTGAAAACAATATGTGTTTCTTCAGTAAAACAGAAGCTAACATTGATTGGACATTTCCTGAGTGAGGGCACCATTCCGGTTCCCGCCTGAACCCATGACACGTTTAGGGGACACGCCCCAGCTTTCTGTGTTAGCTCACTAAAGGCTTTCTGCTTTCCGCAGCCTGGGACAAGGGAGGTACGTGTTGAACACACACTGATTAAATATTGCGTCCACTGGAAAAAAATAAATGGTAATCAATACCTTGGGTTTCTTTCTTTTTTTTTTTTTTTTTAAAGATTTTATTTATTTATTTGACAGAGAGAAACAGCGAGAGAGAGGTCACAAGCAGGGGGAGTGGGAGAGAGAGAAGCAGTCCTCCTGCAGAGTGGGGAGCCCAACGTGGGGGTCGATCCCAGGACCCTGGGAACATGACCCCTGCCAAAAGCAGATGCTTAACAACTGAGCCACCCAGGAGCCCCAATATTTTGGGTTTCATAGAAAGGGGAGAAAGGAACTGATGGTATGCATGTGGTCTTTCAAGGTAGAACAATGAGGCATCAACTTTCAGAGAAGGAAAATCAAGAGCTTTTGTTTATTCACAAATCCTGTGGTCAAGAAATCGACTTAATTTTTTCCTAATCCCATATTGCCAAACCTCTCCTTGTAACACCTTCTGGGACATCTCTCAACATACCCACTGTCCACACTTGGGTGGGGGGGAACATTGCCCTTTATACACCCAGCCCTTCAGGGGAAGTAGACAACTCATTTCCTTGAAGCTCTCTTAATCGCAGGAGCGCTTGGGGCCACAGTAGCGTTTTACATAAATGAGACCCTCGCTTTCCCCTTCCTTCCCCTGGCTTCCTCAAATGACCGCTATCTTGAACTTCTATTGTGGAGGCTGAGTCCTTGATGCTGCAGTGAAAGACAAGACTGAAAGGACAAGTGGCTGACGGTGGCTGGAGGGGTGATGGAGATACACACAGCAGGCGGGTGACAGGTACCACAGGTGGGAGCAGCACTTGGCATAAAGCCACACTTGCTGCCTGGTGTTTGCGAGCCCCACGGACACGACTCTGCCTGCCTGGGGATGTCACCTGAATCCAATCCCTATCTGAGACTTGCCTGGCTTTCTGTGGCCCTGGGTCAGCACCTTGACCCCCAGTGCCGGCTCCTCCCCCCTCAGACTGGCTCTTCCCCATTGTCCCCTCCCTCTGAGGCCACTCCTCACACACTCCTGATGCCCTCCCTTTTCCTCCTTGGGGAACATGAGAGCCTGATGTGGGGCTCGATCCCAGGACCCTGAGATCACGACCTGAGCCGAAGGCAGAGGCTTCAACCCACTGAGCCACGCAGGCACCCTAAGAGCTCTCAATGAATTGGGTCGCTCCCTTGTCTCCTGCTTGTTTCCTGCTTCAGAATCACCTCTGTGGGGGCAGGCTCCGCCCAGTTTGGTACCTGCTGGAGAATCGGGCTGCACAGTACCAGCCACATAACACACGGGCTCCGAAATATTTGGTTGGTGAACAGCAGGTGGACAGGCCTGCAGCAGGTTGCTGGGAGGAGCAGAGAATAGGCGATTGTGACGTCGTGATGACTCATCTCCCATCCTCAGCGCATTTATGGATTAATGTTAGTTCTTGTCCCTGTGGCCAGGGACTCTCAGGAGGGGCAGAAAATGCTAGAGGGGATTCAGAGCTGTTGGTGGCTGGGGGCTCCATGTTGGCCCATGATGACCTAAGAAAGCCCTGAGCAGAGGCATCCAGATTCCCCAGCTCAGTGCAATGGGATGGACATGAAGAAGGTCCTCCGTCGTGGCTGGCACACTCAGGAAGGAAAGGCAGCCTCCCCAGGTTCCTGATGTTCCGTCGTTCCAGAACCACCACGTGAGGACTAGAAGGAGCCCCGGGGAAACCGTGGCTCCATCTGTGTCTCAGGTGTGGACTAGAAGCCCGAGAGGTGAAAGGTCTTCCTCCTCACCCTCCAGGGCAGGAAGCGCGGGTCACGGGCCACCGCGCGTCTCGAGATTCCAGGTCCCAGCAACATGTGACTCACTGTTTCTTGGGGTCTAGACACACCTAAAAACTATCAGACACAAATTGTGCTCGAATTTGTTGCAGCTTTCAAGTTCTATCTTAAAAGAAAAAGACTTCTTTTCATCGTGCACAACCACTTCTGATCTGCAGAACAGCCTTATTTTACAAACTACGTGGGCAGAATCTTCTGCAGGGGCTGCTTACAGAGAGCACAATTGTTCTCTTCCCCTACTTCCTGGCAAGGCTGGGAGACAAAAGCCACCTCTTGGTGTCATTTTAAAGGCCACAGGGAAGTCAATTTGAAGAGAAAGAAACCTTCTTTCATTGATGCAAACAGAATAAACTCCAACGGTTTCCTTTTAGAAACCACTATATTGTGCAGTTGAAGGGTGGCCAATGGGATTTGATGAAATAAATAGGCAAAAAGGAAGAAGACAGCCAGGAGGACACGGTTTCATGTCAAGGTCCTGTTTGAGCCAAGGAGGGTACGTCCTGCTATCAAAGACTTGCTCAAGCTTTCATTCTCAAAAAACTCCCTGCTTGAGTGATAGTGTTTATTTTAGGTTTACTGCTGGCCCACCATATGGGCAAAGCCTTTCCAGCATCTCCCATAAACTCAGTTGCTAGGATCCCCCTCCCATAGCATCATCCAAGCCCTTGTGCATCTTGCTGGTGGTCCGCCAAAACTTTCAAGGAGAATGCTTTATGTTCTGTGTGTATTTCTTTGAAGGGGAGCATTGTCCAGGGTGGACGTGGGGTGGCTCAACATACCCCTGATGGTCTGTCTTCTGAGAGCCAAACATCTGCAAACTCTTTTTTTTTTTTTTTTAAACCTCAGACTCCTGGACTGAGCAGACATTTCAAATAGGATTTGCCAAATGCTTTTAAATCTTCGCACTGTGGCTGGCACGTTGGAAGCTCTCCACTAGGTATCTGTTGAATGGAACACTGGCCCATCAGTTAATGGTGGTCTATGACCTTGGTCATTGTAATATGCCATACTACTGGGGTCCCAGAGCAGCAACCCCTTTTTGAAAGACGTAGGTGTGCTGCATGTAAGATGCAAAATGGAATGTTTTTAAAGGAAGAAGAGACATCTTGTTTTTCACCTTCCTCTTTAAATTCTTAACCTGGATCCTCAAAGAAGATACAAAGCAAAATAAACTCTGGAATTTTATGAGGGTTACAGATTTTTAAATAAGTGGGAGTCAGTCTGCACTTCCTGCTCAGTCTCTAATTCTCTACTCCACGTGGCCATTCCCAGATCCAAACGGCAGAAAAATAACCCAAGACATCCCCCACTCAAATATGCTTTTAAAAGTAGATTTAATGACATAGTAGTCATGTTGGCTTAGAACGGGAATCTGGATTTGTATTTCTGAAAGGCATTTTCAACAGAGATATTTGAAAGAAAGGGTATTTTAGAGAAGTCAAAGCAAGCCGTGCAAATTTAGAAATTTTCAGATTCTTATTTGGGGTTGTATAAAAAAATAAGAATGTCTGAGGAATGGATGCTCATGTAAACACTGTATTTTGTCAAATTATTTGTATGACATTAAATTCTTTAAAAAATAACCTTTATTGGGCACCTGGATGGCTTAGCGGGTTAAGCCTCTGCCTTTGGCTCAGGTCATGATCTCAGGGTCATGGGATCGAGCCCCACATCAGGCTTTCTGCTCGGAACACTGGTACCATCTAAGCAAAATGGCTTTTGTGGAGAATAAATGTCTAAACACTTCAAACTGTGCTTTGCACAAAGTAAGTGCTCAACTAATCTTGTGGCAATTTGTCTAGCAGGTGAGGTATAGAGAAGAAAACAAGTCTCCCATTCTCCATCACTCACAGAAACCATTTGCAGTATTTTATCATTCTACCTTTTCTTTTCCTACCCATTTCATGACCTGTTGGAAAGTGTACTGTCTATAAAAATTCTCATACTTTTGTCTCACTTAACACATCATGAACATTTATTTATATTATTTAAATTAGTTGTCAACTTTTTGTGCCTCTCCCATTATTATCTTATTTCCCAAATGTTAGATACTTAGGCTGTTTCCAAAAACATCAAAACAGGTTTTTTAAAAAACCTTAGCTCTCTACCCTCATTCTATGGAGCAATTTTCCCCTCTCTGCTCGCAAAGTCACATGCATTTCGGAAACCCTACGGAGTGTGATGTGTTAGACACAGGACCGCTAAAGCACCATGGTAATGACAACTTTTTATCTGTGTGTTAGGGAACAGTGATCAGGGCTGAAGAATAAAAACAAGGTAATACACACGGGGTACTTGCTGTGTTCTCAGTGCAGAACCAACGTCCAATACTTTCCACTCGTTAACTCACACTGGCAGCCACCTGAAGAGGTGGTTCTGTTATCAGGTCTGTTGGACAGATGAGAAAACTGAGGCACTGAGGTGTTAAGGGACTTGCCCACGATCACTGGTCTAGCAATTTGCAGAGGGGCTGAACCCAGGAAGTCAGCTGCAGACACTGCTTTCTCAGCTGCTTGGGTAAGCTGTTCACTCTAGGTATTCCATGAGGAATGCTCTCCTGCTGTTTCCCTTTCTTTGCTCTTTATTGGGAAGACAATAGAAAGGTCAAGTAAATGCTGGTAAATGGATACTTGTTCTGATTAGAAGGGCGAGGGCTTGGATGGGCTTTCCCCCAAAGAACTAGTTAGGCATTTGGTTTTCTGTGCTCTAATTTAGAGCCGGATCAAAATATCAGTGGGATGTTTCCCACCCTATTTTAAATTGGGTTACGGTGTAACTTCGGAGAGCACGAATACATTGTTTTCAAATAAGCACTTCTTTTTTTTACAGAACAGGTTTATTTCGGCCAAGCGCACATCTGTTGAGAAGGACACGCGTATCTGGGAAAATAGGGCATTGGCTCTCTCTTCTGCGTAGGTGTTTTCCAATCAACTATCCAGCACACAGCAGAGAAACAACTTCCCTTTTTCCCCTGCCTTTCTCCGGAAGGCAAGAACAATAGATAAGGATCCCACATCTGCGTACACTCTTGGGGGCCAGAGGAGAGTTGAGGGAGGGGAGAGAACCCTTGTAGCATGTATTCAAGGGGAGAGAAGCGTCCGTGGGTCATTCTGTAGGTCTTGGCCGCTCACAGAGCAGAGAGCCTTTTTATGTCAGAAAAAGTCACAGGGAACTGCCCAGGGACGGGTCCAAGTGGAACGGAAAAATGAGAAATGGCGAGCGAAGGGACCAGGCTCTCTTCTCCCACTGCATTCTGTCTTGAACCTGAGCCTCACTGGAAGATGGCTGTGCTATCCTACGGCCTCGTTAGATGGCTGGGCCTCCGTCTGCATGTAGGTGGCTGCCCAGGCGGGTGCTGGATTTTGCTGGTTCTTTTCTTATGGAAAAGAACCATGAGCCACAGTCCTTGTCCTTACCCCCCAAATTTCAAGGAACCAAATGAGGTTTTTATAATGGTAACCAGTGGGAGGTTATTTAGGAACTGAAAATGAATCCAAAGAGATACATCTCTAGATAGTTTCTTTAATTCTTACAAAGAGCAGGGATGCAGAATATGCTTTGTTTTACCGAAAAGATGAGGTATTTGCTTTTATTTTCGGGTTTACAGGACCTTTCCTTTTAGAAGTCTCTCCTTGAAAAATATGCAGACTTAAAGTGTACATAGTCTCGCTTTCAGAAGAACTTCCTTCCTGAAAATGAACTTTTGCCTTGGAGTTCCTGGTTTGTTTTTTTTTTTTTTCGGGTTTATTTAAATAGAGACGATAATTACCTGTATTTAAACAGTGATCCGAAGGACAGAAGATCTTTTTACTCCGAAAAGACAACATAATTCTGTAAAGTAATAGGACACCAGGAAAAACAATCACCTTGGATTCGTTTGCATATGAAAGGAGAACCAGTGGAACTTGAAAAGGCTTCTCACTAAATCTGAAAGGACATGTGGGGTTAATTCTAAAATGCTGAATCCTAATGAGGCCGGGGCTTGATTTTCTGGGACGGGGCCCTGCACTGCACGCCGAGGCGGACTGTGCTGAGCGCGCAGGACCCCGCCCCGCGCCCTCTCTGGCCTCCGGGCGTCCCGGCATTCTTGCGGCCGCCACGGGGCACCTGCCTTCCTCTCGGGCAGCGGCGGGCGCTGCACCTGTCGCGGGTCTCCGTCCCGGGCGCCCGCGTAACCAGAGGCCAGGTCTCCTCCTGCGGCGCCCAACACCTTTCCAGCGCTTCTGTGAGGCTTTATGCCGGTTCCTGTCTTCCCCGCAGCGCAGACTCACCAGCGCGACTTCCAGCTGCTTCGTCCGTTCACCCCAACGCACCCAGGGAACGACACGATGCTTCTGAACCGGTGTCAAGCCCACTTTCTGACCAAAGAGCTGTGAGAGCATCTTCGGGGTCAGCGCGTCCCGAGCCCTGGGGCGTCACCACTTGCCTCGAGCGCCACCGCCTGGCCAATACGGGAACGACCTCTGCGGGTGGGGAGGAGCGTCTGGGAAACCGGCCAGATGGGAGTTTCTAGTTTCTGTACAATCACCACCCTTAGCCGTTTAATGTAGTGACTAGGATGGATATTCTCGCTTACTAATGCAGGTATTTTTCTTCTGAATAAATATACACACTCGTCTCTCAATAACCTGGGTTTAAGGATACTAAAATGGGAACCATCCTGTATCTGCTCCAAAAAAAAAAAAAAATCACATGAATTGCATTCTTTCTAAATGGGTTGGATATGATACACTTTGGTGTTATAAAAATATAAGAGCAGAATTGTGAGGGAAACAGTCTTTCCTAGCTATTTTTTTCAGCATTCTGTCTATGGCAGATTGGTTTAAAGTAGAAATAGTTCACTCCTGCATGGGTTCCCAGATTGATGGCCAAGGTATAGCTCGGCTTCTCCAGACTTGAGCTCAGGAATCGAAGGGATTGGGAGGTTTCTAAAAAGCATGTGCACACCTCAGTGCAGGAGTGTGTGTGTGTGTGTGTGTGTACCCGCTCTGTGAGCCGACCCCTTGGGGTGTTAAAAGAAAATATCGGGAATTCTATTCATACCTCTTTTAAATCTCAAACTTCAACATTTATATTTTTATAATGCACATAAAATTATGAGAACAGTTATATGTCATTTATAAATGAGTATTTTAAAAGGTATTGGGAGTGTGGGTTAAGAAATGTTTTACCAATGGAAGTTCATGACCAAAATCCACAGGTCTAAAACTGCATTAAACTTAAGGATATTCTCAACACAGTCCTGCCTGGCTTTGCGAGGTGACATAGATCTGCAGGCAGCTGGAATGGGGCCAGGCTGGTGGGTAAATCCGGCAGTTTTTCCCTCTGAGTGGGGAGACCAGGAGGGGGTTAGACTCCGAAGGGGGTCCTGGGGCTGCCTCTTTTCAGCCTCATTAGAAAACCAGGGTAAACCACTTCATATCTGTGGGGAGTCGTCTTTTGCTGGACTAATGTGTAAAGAGCCTCAAACAGGTGTTGGACACCAGGTGGGGTGGGTGTGTTGAGGATAGCATGTGGACAGGACATGGAGCTCATCTGGAGTGTTTGCGACGGAGATCAATTTTCATTTGAACCGAAAAATTATATGAAATTTAAAAATAAAAGTATAGACAAGGTTAAAACTAAAAGATCTAATACACCTAAAAGAAGATGAATTATAGAGACTTCTTCAAGCCCTTTAAGATCATGTGTTTGTTTCTGGAATTTTTGGTACCCTTTACTGGCATTATTCTAACCAATTAAAAAAGAATGGGACCCTTACATAATAAATCTATATTACAAGTACCTTTATTTTTTTAAAGTGGATGGAGAAAATAGAATTAATGAATCATGGGCTAAATTGCTATTTTTTAATGATCATCTTTGGAAAAAGAACCCAGAGACTCCAAGTTCTAAAAGGACAAGTGGGAGTATTTTACTAGGCAGCCCTGGCTTTGAAATGGTGACATAAATACGAATGACAGCTTGAACTCAGATCTAAAGCTAGTTATGGTCTCCCTGATGTGACCCAAATCACTGCAGACAACGGAAATCTTGTCTTGTTTTAGAGGAAAGCCAGAGACAAAGACCCGTGTTTTTGGTTTACCTATGACTTGCTGACAGCTGACAAATTTATTATTATTTTCATTTTAGATTTAAAAACAGAGGCCTTCCTTTGAACAGCTTCAGGCCAGAACATTTTATTGGTGTTGGATCTTGTCTGTAGTGAATAGCAAATTCCTCATCACATGGGTCATTTGGTGACTGTGTGGTTGAGAGAAATCATAATTTGACCATGATTTAGAAATGTTCTGGCAGTTTCCAAGACGTGTAGTTTCTGGAATCACTGGAGATGTAGTATGTTGTGTTGCTTTGCAGGAGAGTCTGTGGGTGGCCAGGAGCTGGGAGGTGGGAAGGTGGTGTCCCAGGCTGGAGTTTGCCTGCCAGGTGGGTGTCACCTGGTTCTTGATCTCCATCTCCCTTCTCTGATTTCTGCGGGACTGTCATTTATTATTGTCACAAATCTTGGGCAAGACATCCCGCTGATCTGGGCTTTCTTCCTCATCTGTAAAATCAGCGTTTGTGTACACTGGGAGGGCAGCGTGATTGAGCCGAGAAACCTAGCAGTGGAGTTCTGGGCTTTATCTACCCTGGTGGGAGTAAATATTAGTTAAACCCTTTGGGAGCAGCGTTTGGAAGCATGAATCACACGCTTTATTAGCCACATGAATGCTCTCTGACCCAGCCATTCTGACTATAGGAAAAGGTCCTCAGAAATAGTCCAGTGATAGAGACAGATTCATGTATTTCACATTGACTCCAAAAAATCTGAGACAAGCTCAATATTGAAGAGTAACAGAATTGCTAAATAAATTAAGGCGGTTTGTTCAGCAGAATATTATGTAGACATTACAGGCCATGTTTTCAAAGGATATTAGCACAACAGATGTTCACAACATAATTTCAAAATTGTAAAAAGTAACACAAATGTCTATATTGCATGATATTAATTTTACGTTAAGTCTTTGAGACATGCATTTGCATGAAAAGAGTCTGGGAAAAACAACCGTGTGTGAACAGTGTTCCTAGGTGATTTAAAATTCTTTATTATTTTTCCTGAGCTTCCAAATTTCCTAGAATAAATATGTATTTTTTTTTTTAATAGTTGGAAAAGACAGAGTGAAATTCTAAACCTGGTACAAAGCATGGGGTGTGTGATCTGATCAGCTTTCTGCCTAGGGTGATCACAGACATTTCTGGACTCGAGGAGAATATGAAAATGCTGAGACTATGGACTCCAGGACAAGATCGCTTGAGTGACCCCTTAGCCTCTCTGCCTCAGTTTCTTCCACTGTGAAGGGAAGATAAGAGTACATGTCAAGAGAGTTCAAGGTTAGCCTAGGTAAGCCCTGACTCATAGCAAGCACTCAATTCATGTTGGCTATTCTCATTACTGTTTATAAAATGGAACAACCAATAGTAATTCAACAGATGTTTGCTGAGCACCTACTTTGTGCCAGGCATGGTCTGTGCTGGGCACGCAGCAGTCCAGAAGTGATCAGTGCAGTCCATGTCTCTAGTCTCACGGAGCTGTGTTTTAGTGGGAAGACAGACAACAGCAATTAAGCATGTGGGTTTCAAAGTGTTAAGAGGAATAATGAGAGAAAAGATTGGAGGGTGTGGGCTTGTTTTGGGTAAAGTAGCATTTGAGTGGACACCTGAGCATGGAAGTGAGCCAATCCAGCTATATGGAAAAAGAACATTAGGCTGGAATGAAGTCAGTGCAAGGGCCCTGAGGTATGCTTGGGATGCTTAAGGAAAAGTAAGAAAGCTCTATAAGGTTGAATAGACCCAGAAACAGACTCTGAAACAGGGATTCCAAGTGCAGGTAGACTATCTGGGAAGGAAGCCCAGGCAAAGGAGTGAGGAAGCGAGGTAGGGAAGGGAGGGAGCAAATGCAAGGGGACAGAATGAGTGAGCTCTCGGTGTGGACCACTGCATTCCTGCTCAGGACCTCAGGGAATGTGTCTAAGAAGCCTCAGTGTTGTTGCCCTGAGGGGGAGGAAAGAGGGGTATCAACCCTCCCAGTTTGCTCTGTCATTAGATAGGGGCTGCTTTCCCTGAGTGTGGGCCCTGCTTACCAGAGAAGGTGCTCAAGCCAGGAGTGACAAGGTCTTATTGCAGGAAGGCTACCCCAGGTGAAGAAAGCTGAGTGTGGAGGATGGGCCTGGGCCCTGGCAGCACCTGCTACAAAAGCCAACATAGTGACCATGAGACCAGCAAGGGCACCTGGGGTAGGAGTTGAATTCAAAGATGAGGGTCAGTATCCGGATCCCCTTTCAGGAGTTCGGTTCTGGGGTAATGGGAGTCATTGTAAAGTTGTGAGCAAAGGATGGCATGATCTTACTTGTTCTGGAAGAGTCTGGCTGCGGTGTGGAAACTGCAGTGTCTGACAGCAAGGGGGGAAGCAGGAGGACCCTCAGGGCACCACAGCCAGAGCTCAGGGATGATGGTGGCCGGAAGCTGGGAGAGAGGCATGAAATAGACTTTTGGATTCTGGAGGCATTTTAAAGGAAGAGCCAAGGTAATTTGCTAATGAGTTGGGTTGGATGCGAGAAGGGAAAGAATAAGAGGAATTGGGACACTACAAGGTTTTGACCTGAGCACCTACTAGATCAGAGTTGCCATTTTTCAAGATGGCAACTGTGGGGAGGCTGGCAATGGTGGTGGACTGAGTGGGGCAGTTCCTCAAAATAAATCCCTAACTCCCCCTATCATCCATCAACCATCACGTGTCAGTTATCATCTGTCTATGATCCATCTATCTGTCTATCAAATCTATCTAATCTATTATCTGTCTTCATCTACCAAGCAGCTCTATTGGTTCTGTTTTCCTGGAGCCCTGACTAATATAGGAGGCCAGAGATCATTTTGTGTTTTAAACTATCTCTTCTAATCTCTCTTACCCCTGGCTGCCAGCACTTGGCCTATATGGTTCCCTCAAAAATGTGTGTTTTTTATATATGTAGTTCCTGTCCACTCCATATACCGAAAGTCACACCCATAATTCATTTTGAGATATTCCTCTCTCAGTAAACTCACTGCTGTTGTAGGCATTCAGGCTGCCCTTACATCTCACCCTTCTGGCTCCTAACAGTCTCCATGTCCAACTGAGAGAGCACACTCCAGGCCATACACTTCACCCCACATTGTTCTTACAAAAATCTTATGTCCATAAGCTTGATTTGGTCTCTACTCTGAGGCCAGGTCACAGAGGAAATGCTCTGGGATTGATCACTGTCCCCTGGCTGTATCTTAATT